AGGGGTTTGAGTGGGTCCTGAAATTTGAGCCAGCCCCATGATCAATTGATGGTTTTTGGAGATTAAAACTACTGTTCCTCACCTCTTATAGGCACAAGAATCAATACCATCCCTCTGTGTTCACCCACACCGTTATCATCAACTCAATCTCTTTTACCATCCAGACTCCATGGTCAAACGCCAAAACACCAACCCCACAGAAAGAGAGAGAGATCAGTGTGTGAACATCTCCCGAAGCATACCAATCTTCCCTGTACCCCCAGTGTGTCTCAGTGAGTGGGGTCTCCCCAATTCTCTCTCTCTCTCTCTGTCTCTCAGTGAGGGGGTCTCCCTCAGTCTCTCTCTCTCTCTCTGTCAGTGAGGGGGTCTCCCTCAGTCTCTGTCAGTGAGTCGGTTCTCCCCCTCTCCCTTGGGTCTGATCACTGTGCTTGATGGTGTGTGAGAGAGCATGATGCTGGGTGTCAGTAACAGCGGACTCTCACCCAGAATCTACAGTGAGTGTCTCTCCCTGACAGTGTGAAGGGGTTAATGCTAATGATTCTCTCTCAGCCTTTATCCACTCAGAGTTTCACACTCAGTCTCTCTTTCTCTCTCTGTCTCTATCCCTGCCATGCCCCCTCTCCCTGGCATTCCCCCACCAGTGACTGCACCTGATGAAGGGGCTGCGCTCCAAAAGCTTGTCTGATTCCAAGTAAAGACTATAACCTGGTGTCATGTGACTTCTGACTTTGTTCACTCCAGTACAACACCAGCACATCCACATCATCACTTTCTTCAAGCTAGAGGGATGGCCATGAGTAGCTGCATTTGCCCCAGTTTTGCCTGTCTCTTTGTGGGTTATGTGGAATATTCCTTGTTCTAGTCCTACTCCTGCCCCCAACCACAACTCTTTCTCTGGTATAGCAATGATCCTATCAGTGCTGCTTCCCTCTTTCGTCCAGAATTGGAAAAGTTTATCCATTTTGCTTCCAATTTCCACTCCACTCTGGTCTTCTTCATCTGGTCCATCTCTGACTCCTCCCTTCCCTTTCTCAATTTTTCTGTTTCCATTTTTGGGGATGGGCTGGCCACCAATATCCATTACAAACCAATCGACTCCCACTGTTACCTTGACTATACATCCCCATATCCTGCTTCCAGCAAAGACTCTATTCCATTCTCCCAATTCCTCCGTCTCCATTGCATCTGTTCTGAATGACGACAGCTTTGATAAGAGGGCTTCGGAAATGTCCACCCTCTTCCTCAACCAACAATTCACCAGTACCATAGTTGACAGGGCCGTCAGTTTGGTCCAACCTATCTCCTGAAATTTAGCCCTCAACCCCTCTTTTCCCTCCCACAATAGCGACTGGGATCCTTTGTCCTCACCTACCATACCACCAGCATCCACATCCAGAGGATCATTAGCCACTGTTTCTGCCACCTCCAGCAGGATACCACCACCAAACACATGCTCCCCTCCACCTCCCTTGTCAGCCTTCAGCAAGGACCGTTTGCTCTGTGACACCCTGATCCACTCCTCCTTCACTCCCAACAAACCCAAGCCCCACAGCACCTTCCCCTGTACCTGGCGAAGGTGCAACACCTGCCCATTTACCTCCTCCCTCCCCAGTATCCAAGGGCCCAAACATAGCTTCCAGGTGAAGCAACACTTCACCTGCACTTCCCAGAATCTAGTCTAATGCATTCGCTGCTCACAATGTGGTCTCCTCTACTCTGGGGAAACGAAGCGTAGAGTGGGTGACTACTTCATAGAACATCTATGTTCTGTCCACAAAAAAGACACTGTGCTTCCAGTTGCCTGCCACTTCAACATATCACCTTGCTCCCTGGCCAACATCTCTGTCTCATGCTGGCTGCAGTGTTCCAGCGAAGCTCAGCGCAAGCTGGAAGAACAACACCTCATTTTCCACTTGGGGACTCTGCAGCCCTCTGGACTTACTATTGAGTTCAATAATTTTAGGGCTTGAGACACCATCTCCCATGTCCTTACCCCAATCCGCAAACACCAGGCATATTATCGTATGCTCTGCTGTTACACACAAGCCATTGTCACCCACTAATAGTCCCCATGAGTAGCTATTCATTCTCCCATACTGACCTTTACCCACACCTTTTTCTGTCCAACTGTTTCTCGCTCTCTTTAGGCACTAGCTCCATAGAGCCATGTCTATTGTTTACTCCCCACATCCCTCCCCCAACTCCATCTTCTGTATAAAAATAATTTTTTCCTAGCTGCTATCAGTTCTGAAGAAGGGTCACTGGATCCGAAATATTAACTCTGATTTTTCTCCACAGATGCTGCTAGAGATGCTGAGCTATTCCAGCAATTTATGTTTTTGTTTTCGATTGGGCCAGGTTGCTTTTTGGGACACTGTCTCAGTCTGGTTCACAATGTTAGAGAGTGGCAGACTTACACTCTTACAGCACTTTTCACCACCTTCATGCAACCCATGTAACTGGATATGATGTAATGAAAGCCAGCTAATTAAAAAATTTTAGTGATGAATGATCACTCATATGATAGAATTTTATATTATGTTTGAAAGTGAAGTATTTCATTCTGAAACAAGGGTATTAAATTTGAATAAGGAAAATTATGAAGGAATGAGGCATAAATTAGCAGTGGTGGATTGAGAAAATGGGTTAAAAGCATGACTGCAAAGAGGCAATGGATGAGTCTTTGAAGAACTATTACGTGGCTTATAACAACAATACATTGCATCAAGGTGAAAAAACTCAGAACAACAACAGTCAACCATGGCTAACAAAGTTCGGGATTGTTCAA